TGGCTGGTTGTTTTCCAGTTGGTCAAGGAACGTGAATCCCTGAGCCCTTGCTGCTTTCTTTGCCTGACCTTTGTCACGAAGTCTTTTGACTGCAGCTACGGCGACCCGTGGGTTGGACACACTCCGGTCGATGAAGTAGGTTTCCCCTGTCCACCAAAACGGAAGTCCAGTTTGCTTGCATGTCTCCAAATCATGCCAAAGTTCCGAGTACACTCCCCCCGGATCCCTGGCACCATCTCCCGATGTGCATGGTAACGCGATAGTGCAACGAATGTTACCGGGTTCAAATCCTAGAGCGTCAGTCGGCCGAACATCAAATCGCTTTCTAGGTTGAACGTGGTGGTGAACGAACGTACCATGTTCAGGGAAATGCGTCCAGTAGTCCTCAGTCCTAGCTACAGAAGCTGCAGGCACATTTGAGGGGTCCTGGATGGAATGATCGAAAACATGGGCGAAGGGATGACGCTCAACAGGAAGCTTAACCTCATGTTGAACGATATGTTCACATCCAAGATACCTACCGACATCTTCGGGAGGATCCATTTCGATGTGCTCACCTATGAGCTTCCATCCCTCGTCATGGTTTTCCCTGGGTCCCGCCAACTTAAAGTCGTCGACGTATACCGCGAGGAGCAGTCTCAATCGTTCATGCCAAAACATGGATGGCCAGCACTCAGGGTGGAGTGCTTTGAATCCTACCTTGATCAGACACGACTCACAATGTCGCTCCCAAAAGCCCCCCGAATCAGGGTGTCCGTACAATGCCAAGACGAGCCTGATAACGGGGTCTTTGTATTTACCAACCCACTCCTTAGGCCAACGGTTTCGCGGAATGCGAATCCATGTCTCTGGGCCTTTCAGTGTGGTTTGGGTGTACGCCTGCTTGCCATCACCCTGGCTAATCCGGTTCCCCGGAGCAGATCCATAGCAATCCAACGCTTTGGCTGCTTCCATATTCGCAGGCGATGAACCAAGTTCTGCAAACAATGCCGTCTCAGAAGACTCATCCTTAACATTGTTGCCTTGGAACACCGTTCTACCCTTGAACTTTCTGAGGGGGTTGCCTTTCTCTAATTCGCTACCCTTCTCAACACATAGTTCAAAGATCTTTCCTACGTGAACCTTTTCACCAGTGCGTCTAGCTTCACTAGCAACATGTTCCCATTCCTGAACAGTGTTATACCACCAGGCTGGTTTGCTCTCAAGCTTGTTCCATTCAAGATCGAGTGAGGCCTGAGCGGCAGGATTCTCACCGACCTCCTTTGGACCTACCGGTCTGGCGACAAGTGCGTTCAAGATCATATCTTTTACGAGTTCATGTGCTGTGGCTAGTCTGTCACGGTGGTCATGTTTGATCACCTCTTTGACTGGCATAGCAGGAACATCATCATTTTGGTCAACCCGATCCCTCGGGGAAGAAGGACCGTTGGTATTCAGATTGTTGACCTTTGCAGCAGCGGCTTTGAACTTCTTTCTCGCTTCTTCGAGTTCGTATCTTCTAATCTCCTTTTCACGAGCTGCCTTCGAAGCGGCCTTCCAAAGAAAGGATGGAACATCCGGTGGTTTGGAAGTGCCTTTGTATTTCCTAGTTTTATATCCCCCCGCGCTGTAGAATGATGACCCCTCTTTTGGGATTGAGGTCACCTCACCTGTAACAGGATCAACAACCTCAACCATGTCTTCAGGTGGAACGCCTTCGAAAGGATCCCTGGGTGGATCTTTGGGCTTACCGGATGAGGATGATGAGGAACCTCCTTTGCCCTCTTCGTCTTCACCGGGATTATAAATCCCACTTTCAAATGCATCCTTCTTTGAATGATCAACCATTCCATCAGTCGAAGGGACCTTGAGTGCTTTGCCACTTTCCATCGGACCTTTGTCAATCAACTCCTCCACCGGTTTAGCATCCTCGTCTTCAGGCTTTGGAGGATCGTCCGATATCATGTAGCATGGAATGCGAC